TTATGGAGAACTGAAAAATTTCCACCTAGAAATACTTCTATATAAACCTAAAATATAGAAATATTCAGAAACTTCCTAACATTCAAAGTAAGAAGGATATATGACTCCTACATGAAATCTCTCCTACATTGAAAGACTAGATGGAAAAGCATTGTTCCAATTCTGATACAACTTGGGGATATCTACAGCTATCATCATGGCAGAGCTTTATGTTGGCATGCTTACTGCACAGCCTGGCTCATAACAGGGATTTTCTAATATTTCAAAAGCTGGATCAAGCAAAGAAAGGTATCCAAATAAAGGATAGTATAAGGAACAGGACCTCAAATGGAAGCTTTGAGATGTTTTAGAGGAAGAAACAGTGGAGATTAAGAGTCACACTTTTTTTTAAAAAATGTGTGGGTAAAAGCCTTCCATATTTGAAAGGGGATGAACTTCAAATGTGTTTATTCTCACTGCAGATATTGTACTCAGTTCTTGTGTTATCACCTAACATGCTTCCCCTATATTTAGGGGCTAAATGATCAAAAGTGTAAAATTATGATCACTGGAATATTGTCAGAGGTCAAAATCTGCACAGGATGGAATAGGAGATGTGCAGTGTCAAAGATCTCTCTCATGAACCTACTATTGGTCATGTTTGCCTCTAGGGAAGCCAATATGATTACTAAAACTCCTGGGAGTTGCTCACAGAAACTGTTGAATGGAGTTGGAGGCAGCAAACAGTCTGCTATTATGACTTACCCAGAACAATGGTGACTGACCACTTCAGTCATGGCTCCTATGTGTGTGATTCTCCACATACCCTTCTGGCTCCTCTTCACACAGCTGTAGAATGGTTATCAAGTCAAACTTGTACAAGAGAAATCCCATCTCCAGTAAATCTATAGAGCCCCCATGGCCTGTAGACCCACTTTGAAGTGTATGGTGGACTCTCAGGCATCCGTGGGATCTGTGGCCCCTATATCTATTACCATCACCATCTCCTTCTCCAGAACCCTTGCTTTAAGCCTGAGATTGACTAAAATGTTCCTGGGTGTCATTTTTTTCTCTAAACAAATTCACCAACACCTGTGAATAAAGCTAGCTTCTGCTCCTTAAAACATGGCAGGGCTAAGGAGGCAGTGTAGTCAGATGCCAAGTCTCGGCTGCTCATACAGTGCAGATGGCAATTGTCTCAAATTTTGGCAAACTGCTTACACCCTTACCATCACTTATGCCACCTTCCAAGTATGTGAAAATTTAATAGGTGGTGTATTTTTATGCCACTTGCTGATAGGAGCACAATTCAGTTGTAGCAACTTTTGACTATCTAACGTATGTGGTGCACAGTTGCTTTTTTCCTTTGAAAATGCTTATTGGACACAAATTCCATTACATTCCCTTGGGCACAAAAAAGCCCAATTTAGTGGTGCAAATCCTTTGAAAATTTTGCCTTTTGTAAATGATCCAAGCTCTCCCTTAAGTGGCTTTGTTGGTCCTGCACTGACCTGAGTCACTCCTCTCTGAAAGATTCTGTTCTGCAAATGTATTTCTAGTGCTCTTTACAACTTCTATTCTCTTCGGCTCCAGATCTAATAAACTGCATGATTTGAATGCCAAGAAGTGTAGGAGTGAAGGTGATGGTGCTATGACTGTCAGGTGTAGAGTGATTTCTTTTGTTCACTGTTGGGTCTGTGTCCTGATATTTTCCAGGGACACCCCTATGTCTATGTAGCTATATCCAAAAAGTGGATCACTGCCAACAGAAATTATTCTCCCTGATGCAGCAGGCCCTGTTCCAAAGGAGAATAGAAATAGCTGTAATAATCCGCTGGCTTTATTTTTACAGTGTTTTTGTAACAATAGTGCATCAGGGTTGAACAGGGTGTATAATGTAATGAACTTACGTCTGGAGTCTGATGTGGTTTTATTGATATGGAACAGGATCCAGCATTCTGCCTGGCTACTGCAAAGAATATGGAGACAGAGAACATTTCTGCAGTTGTAACCAAGCTGGAATAGTTACAGGGAGGGGTTTGTTCATTTTTTTGGGTGGGGAGGGGGGAAGTTTAGATAACAAACACTGAAAATCCATGTCAGCTACAGGTCTGTTACAAGAGCTGACCAAAATGTTCATCTTGAATAATAATGATTGCAAGTTTGGCCCTTTTTTCTGTTTGTGATTGATTCATGAACCTAACCTGATTTCTGTGCATGTATTTGGTATTCATAAGTATTGATCAGACATTTTAGATGAGTTAACCTATGAGTTATTTGTGAACTCTTCACTTTAATTGTTCATTACTGTTTAATTAAGGTGTATGATTGGCCTCCTAAATCACACACCTATCACTGGACCCCAGTCCAACCAATTTATGAAAGTTGCCTGACGGGATTCCCTTTGATTAGAGCTACAATAGCTATGTCTACATCACCAACTCCTACCCAATAGAAGGAGTTTGCAGGGGAACAGGAAGGATACGTCGAGGATGGAACAAAGCACAGCTGGAGCACCTTGCACTATGGCAATTCCACAGCCTGTGCAATGGCTCCCAGAGGTGCAGGTTAGAGTAGCCTTGAATCTGTTCTAACTTACTCCAGGAGCTAAATTGGGTCCCAGTAGCCATAAGGATTGGAAGAGTGTAAAAACGTGGCTTTAAGCCACCTTTGTTCTCCTGCCTGTGGATCTGTGCTGAGCTCAGCCCAGCTGGACCTGAGCATTGGGCCCATAGTATTTTTTCTGCTTCCTGGTTGGATGCCTGAAACATTTTAAATAGAGAATAATGAATGACAAAAATTAATAACAGTTATTAACAAATACTTGACTTCCGGTATGAATTTTCAGACGAATAATCACTTGCGCTAAAATTTGTGAAATTAGTGATTTGTAAACATTTTCACAAATACTCAGCTTTCATCCAAGTGCTTGCAAATAACTGAATGCTATGACCTATGAAGAGCAGTGAAGCAAAGTTGACTTGTTAATTGCAAATATATCGGTTACTTTGATTTTTATTATTCAACTAGCTCTAATCCTAAAGCTGGATTGGCATGTCTTAATGCATCATTAAAATAGCAGCAATCCACCATTACAATCTGGCATCCTCAGTCTTTTTATGGCATTAGTAAAGGCTGATATTTGTATCAGCCTTTTTCTGGCAGCCCTCTTGAATTCCAAAGAATTTAAACATTTATATTACTTTAATATAAATTATGTTGCTAATTCTTATGGTTTCAAAGAAAATCTTCCAGGTAAATTCCCAATGCAGGACTATAGGCAGATAAAAACAAGAAGTATGAATAGCGCCATTGATCTCATGAGAATTAACCCAAAAGCCTGATGATAATTAGAATTTCATCAGCATTAAAATATTTCTCTGCTGATCATTTTACCTGAATCCCAGCAATTCTGGGACTTTGGGTAAATTTGCTTAGTTTGTCACCTCTTTATAATCCAGGCTAATCCCCTTGATGTAATGACTAGAGCTGATCTAATCATTGACAATGAATAAGTGAGCCAATTTTGCCTCTTTTTCTGCCCATGGAATATCCATATAAGTTTGAAATTCTCTCCAGTGTATTCATCATACAAATTTATTCAAAAAATATATTTTTGAACTTGTTTACAAATATTCAAAAGAAGAGCTAGTTTCTTAGTCATGATTGGGCGGATGACTCACATGATGTTATTCCAGCCCTTTGATTGGATGAGTGTGCAAATACTTCTGGCATCAATATCTATGTGTACAAATTTCAGCTGCTGTTTCCATGAGAACTCACACAGATGGCTGTGAGCATTTGTGCCAGTAAAACTTAATTGCCCTAATGTGTGTAGAATGGAAGGTGTACAGAAAGGGGCACGAGCACAGCTGAATTCATTTAAAAATTGAAACGAATGTAGATGGAACATGATTTGTCTTTTTTGCTTGGCTCTTGTGACGATATATCATCATGCATCATGATACAATGTCATCATGTCAGTGCTCAGTATCATGACATGTTGATATTTCACAAGTCCCAGTGTTTAATTTAGGATCCATTCATGTCTGACATATTAGGTTCTCTATCTAAGGTACTTATTAGCCCTCCACCCCCATTTCTGTATTATCTGAGCAACTCACAACATCAGTATGAAATAGAGCAGTACTATTATTCCCATTTTACAGATGGGGAACCAAGGCAGCAAGACACTAAGTGACTTGCTTAAGGTCATACAGGAAATCTGTGGTTTATGGGGGACTTGAACCCAGGTTTATAAAGGCCTAGATTAGGCCACTAACCACCACACTAGCTCTCGTTTTAGAATAGTTAGAGCCTTTGAAAATGGAATTACAGGGAAAAAACCATAAGTGTTGGCATTTTGTTTCATGCATGTGCACACTCAAACGCCTAAACAAACTAAAGGGTATTGAAAGTAAATGTAGCCAGTAAAAGTACAGTGGAGCCCAAATAAAATTTATATGACTTTTATTGTTGATATGCTTAAGCATTTTGTCTACTACTTTACTTGAAATTAACACAAGGCTACTAAGAGCAGCTGTGTTTTATAATTTTCCACTGTAAAATGTTGAAATGTGTAAGATGGTTAGATGTAATAACACTAGAAAAATAAAGATAATAGAGTGCACACTTTAGTCCCAATGCGGCTTCAGCAAGGTTTTGTTTGGAGTGCCCAGCTGCAGATACAGACGCAATGGAATTTGGTTTGTGAGGAACCTACAAAAATTACACAAATAACTAACATTTTTTTTAATGAATAATACACAGACATGCACCTGCTTCAGAGACTCCATAGATTAGTCTTGCAGCCAATAGAAAAGCCCCTTGGAATTCAATTACATGGCTGAAAAACAGAAAACAAAATTGTGGCTATACTTTTAGAAATACCAGCAAAATGTTAACTAGTTCTTGGGCTGAGCTTCTCTTCAGGATTAGGCTGTTTCAGTTTGGTTTATTTCCATGTGTCTTGTTGCAAATTCACAATATTCTGCTCATATTATTCTGTTCTATTCTTGCAGCTGGAGCCTCTCCCAGAAGATATGCTGCACCAAACCCCTAATATGAATGCAATGGCTTCTTTACAAAAGGCCACTGAAATTCAAAGTATGTTTCAGTGTTTTTTCTCTTGTTATTAATTAATGTCAGAGACAACTGATTAAACTTTTGTTACAGAGTAAAGAATAAGCAAAAAATATGATATCTGAGCATATACACAATACATGTTTATAACATGTATGCTTGTGCTCTTGTTTCTTTGGCACATCTTTTGTTTCACTGATGATTTAACACTTAAAAAGCTGAGTTGTTAACGTTAATCAAAGCTTTCCTACTCCCATATAGTCCAAAATCTTTCATTTGCACAACTCTCATTTCAAGCATTTCAGTCTTGCAATCCAGTGAGAGAAATACGTGTGCGTGGGTGGGTGTAGATATATGGTGGGTATATTAGGGATATGACATAGTCTCTTTGGATTCAAATTGTAGACAAATACCTTTTCAATGTATTCATGTTGAGATGGACGTGAGTTTAAAACTACATCTGGATATTTAAAATGGCTGCTGCCACATGGACAGTGATGGAAAATATTCAGTGCTTCCCTCCCACCACCCCTTCCCTATGCATGTCACTTATGCATCCCAACACCAGTCCTGAACCTTCCCCACATACACTCTCTGTGGCCCACAGCTGCCACCCACTTTTCGCTGCTGAGTTTTCCACCTGCACCTTCCTACTTTGCCCTGCTCCCAGTTGCCTCAACTCAGCTATACAGACCTTCCTCCACTTGCCACCATGTGCTACTTCCAGCCATGCTAAGTGGGGGAGGGGGGACTTCCTGTTTCCTACCTATCATTTGCCAGTTCTTTCTCATCACCCTCTGGTGCCATTTATATTTAGATTTGGTTTGAATACCACATGTTCTGCTAGTATTGGGTGAATAAAAAAAGCAGATTCATCATATTTAAAAATGTGCATAATACAGCATTATTGGTCAGTTCTTCATATATTTCTTCACATGTGAAGAGATATTGGAAAACTCATGTTTAGTTACATAACTGGTAAGTTATCCCTGCTCCCACTTATGCACTCAGGTAAATAAATGTCACAATTAAATCAGCTTTCTTCAGGAATTCATGATAAATGTCAGTGTCAGTTTTGAGGAGATATGTGTAGTGGAGTACTGCAGGAGCTGGTGCTAGGTTCAGTCTTCTTTAATATCTTCTACTAATGATCTGGAGGAGACAGTAAGCAGCTTGTTAATGAAAATCACATACCATACAAAATTGGGTAAGCTGCAAATGCTAATGAGGACAGAGAAATAATACATAGGGAGCTAGCGAGATTAGAAACCTGGACAAAAAATAACAAAACACAATTCAATTTGAGAGAAAAAATATTTGAGAAAAACAAAACGGTTGAATGGAAAGAGAAATCTGGAATGCAGTTATGCTGAAATAGACCTAGAGATAATAGTGGACAAAAATGAGACATGCATGTACAAGGTAATATAGCAGCAAAAATATCAAAACAACTTAGGTGCCATATTCATCACAGAGCACAAAGGCAATAGTCTTTTTCTATAGATCTCTGATGCGACCCGAATCTTGCATTTAGTTCTGTACAACATATAACCAGAAAAATCTTGACAAAATGAAGGGAATTCAGAGAAGAGCCATATTAATGATGGAGGTGATTGGAGGAATTGACTTAAAAGAGCCAAATCTGCATAATTTGGTTAAGAGATGACCGAGAGGATATAACAGTCTACTAATATTTGAAAGGCGTAAACACTAGTGATGGAGAGGAACTAGTATGAATGTTACATGGGGGAGTTAGTTCAGTAGGAACAATTGGATGAAATTAAAAGAAAGAAAATATAGGCTGAATATCAGGGACAACTTTTGGGGGTGAAATGTGTTAAGCTGTAGAATTATAACCTGGGGAAGTCCATCACGTATAACATTTAAAACTAGACAGGACAAAATACTGACAAATCCTTCTTTGGCACGTGCATTACTTAACGCTTATGTTTCTGTGATACAGCTCTGATGTCAAGTATTTAAATGTTACAACCTCTGATCAGTGTTTTAGTCCAAGGATTGCCTTTGCTCCATCTCTGTTTCAAAAACAGGCTGGAAATTGCAGATTTTCGATCAGACAAAGAGAAAACCCAAATTGTTTCTAAGTAGAATGGAATTTGTATAAACTTCTTTGTTTGTGACAATGGTATCATGTATTTATGGGGATATGATACAATTGGAAGAAGTATTCCCCACAACCACACAATATGTGTTTCTAAATAAGTTGCTCTCACTCGCTTAGGCACCACCCCTCAACTGAGCTCTTTATACATGGAAAATGTCGGCCTAAGCCACATACATTCCAACATACTTCAAGGAAGGGTACTTTGAAATGTCTGTAACAAAAATACATGATATAAACATTCACTGTTACTATTTCCTTTGTGAATGGGAAATGTTCCCACTGCCTTATTGGAGACTTGAGCACTTTTTTTGCATCAAACAAAAGCATATCTAGATTACTTATTTGGTTTCATAGTTTATTCTTAGAAGTAATCGATGCCACAAGCTGTGTATGTATGGGACTGGCAACCCATTTCATAAACTCCAAAATGTTCTTCTTCGAAAATATAACAAGATTAGTGGAATTTCACATTCCTGCCTTGGAAAGTGAAAATGTCAGTTTTGTCAGTTGTGAGCTGTTTGTCCCTGGTGCTTTTGTTTCAAACAGAGCTGGATTTTTAATACATAGGATAGTTTGGGCTGCTAGCAAAAGTAGTTGTGCAATTGCCTGCACTATGCATATACAATTGATGAGACTGTTCATGCACATCAGCAGTTGAAAATTCACAAAGGCCCAATTTGTACATTCAATTGTAGTTGTGCATGGAAAAATAGGTGATAAATTGCACATGCCTTTTGTGCACATTCTTGTTCATGCCATTGTTATAAAAACAATCCTACAATCCTCATTTTCCAAAGAGAATCATCTTGGCATAGGATACAGCTTTTTGTTTTTAAGAAATTTCTCTCACATTTTCTTGTAAGTATCAGGGAGCATTTAGTCCATGAGCCTCTTTAGTGTACCCTCTGCTAACTGGATGCTGTCCTAATGGGGACTCAAAATTGCCTCCCCAAACACTCCTCATTCCATCCCCCAGATAGTGATACCTGGATACTATGACCGCTACCTGGATACTGCCACCTGCTTCCTGTCCCTACTCTGCAATTCTCCTCCACCTCTAAACCCCCTTTCACAATTTTAATTGAGTGTAAGGAAAGGGAAGGGGAGGGGTAATGGATGATCATATGGGGTGGAAGGTAAAATGGATACACAGCACCAACTGATACGCTTGAATGTGGTCGTTAGTTTCAGTGTTAGAAGAAAGTCAGGGGTAGGGGGCAGCTAGTGTGTGTGAGAGAGAGAGAGAGAGAGAGAGAGAGAGAGAGAGAGCAGTCCTCTCTGATGCTGTTTTATTGTTGCTGCAGGAGAGCAGCACAGTAGTGGCTGGTTACTAATATTTTATTTTATGAATAGGAGACCTTGAAAACTCAAGCAGTGAACGTGGGTTCATTTCTTTTATGGGCAAAACTGTGTATTATTCCCATGCCAACAGATTTGATTTTCTTGCACATCTGTTTCTACAGCAAAAACCCCACCCACTTGTGAACATTTAGCCCATAAATTATGGCGTGTATATTGCACAGTCTGATTTTACATATAACCGCTGTGAGAACATTGTGGAATGCCTAAATAACTTTTTAATTTTTTTATTTTAATGACTAGAGAATATGGTCTCTACTGAATATTTTTGTCTTGTTTTTATAGAATTTGCCAGGCCTCAGCCATTTGGTTTAGTGTTATGTACACAGTTTTTTAGCCATGGCTCTCATGTATCTGGAGGAAAATCCAGCTTCTAACACTTAATCTTAACTTTGTAGGATACTTAATACACTTCAGATTTTATCCCCCCCTCCACCAATTCCTATTATTTAAAGATCCTGCTAACTATTCAAACATGCACAGTACTAGGGGTCAAAGGAACACCCGTCTGCCATGCTGCCTGTCGATCATGGAGATTGACTTATGCATTCATCCTTTGAGTATATTTTAAATAAGGTTATTGCTATCTTTATTGACAGCTGCTGTCTCATTTGACTCAAACGCTCATCTTTTGAAAAGCCTGAAATGGTGTTATATGCCATGTTATCAAAGAAGGAATTTTTAACACTCTCAGTCCAGAATACACAGCACTACAATTGGCCCTGTCTGCCAGCTGTTGAAACCCTCCAGCTATCCCATGGCTAAGCACCTTGACCCAACCCACCTCCCAGCTGCCAAAATCTTCCTCCTAGTCCTTGTGAAAGATCCCCTACTTGAGCCTCCCTCTGTCACAGCTGTTGAAACCCTTCCACTAATTCCCAAATAAGTGCTCTGACCCTGCCGCTGGCCCAGCTGCTAGAAGCCTCTTGCTAACCACTGGATAAGTGCTGGTCCCAAACTCCCTTCCAGCTCCTACTTTCCAGGTGGCATCCACCTGGAATTTAGTAAGAATTCTATGGATTATTATACTATGAGGAATATGTATGTAAGTTTTAAGTTGTTCACCTGGTTACCACTAATTGACCCCTGTTCTTGAATAACATATTACTGAGTGATTATTTTTCGTTCCTACTCACCTGCACATTATTTTTTGCTTCACTTGGGAAGCTTTTCAAAGTCTTTTCTGTTGCAGGCAGAAGGCTGACATCTCTCTCACACTTTTATTCCACTGGTGTGTTTTTACCCCCAAAACCAGAAAAATGTCTTTCTTATAATACCTAGTAGCATTCCAACAAAAGCTAGTGCATATATGAATGTTTTAAATAAATTATTGTTCTAGTACACACCCTGAGGTTGGAGGAGAAAGAACATCCAGGACTAACAAACCTGATTGTTCTGGCAACATAACTGCAGGCCATGCTGGCATTCATGACTCTCCGCCCTCCCCCAAAAAGTCAGTGCAATGTGAGCGCTTTGTACAATTAATTTCATTTTTCTATTCCCATTTGTCGCAAATACACCTATTGCCTATTATCATACCTATCTGTTCTGAACTTCCTTCTCCTACCATAGATATAGCCAACAGTCTGACTGATAATATGAGTTCGTTAGGCTGTGTGTTACTCCTTTAGTTTATTACCTTCTGGGGAAGGGTGTGACACAGTCCTTGGAATGAGAGCGCTTTCCAATTTGGCATTCTTAGATCCAGAAACATTCTTCATTGTGGCAGTTTGAAATCCCAATTACAATTGCTTACAGTACAGTGATTTTAACTTATAATCACTCTGTGTTGGACCGAAGTGATTACTGTGCTTATACCACCATGCTAGCTAAAATTCCCATAAATTATTATGTGTGATTTTTTTTTTTTTAGGCAAGTACTGGAAGTCAGTGAAGCCGTATCCTGTGCTAGTGGGTTGTGCTCTGGCTGAGACTCAGAAACAAGAGAGGGAGGAGACGGAGACTGTCTCTGCTATGGCCTCACTGTCAGTGGATGTTGAACAGTCTTTTTCTCAGGAAGACAGCAGGTAAGTGTACGTTGTTGGAAACCCAGATGGCAAGATTTTGTACCCTGGTGTTGTAAGAACCAGAACCCAGATTTTGAAAAGTATCTGATAATTTTGGGTGCTTTGGGTTTTGACACCGCAGCTTGAGACCATTAGGAAAGTATATTGAGTTGGGCATCCAAAAACCAGAGTCACCCTATATTAGTGATCACAGTGTGTATAAATATTTATTAAGATTCACAATTACTAAATGCACCCCTTTCCCCCTCAAAAACTAAACTAAAAAGCAAAATACTGATGTGAAAAAATCATGAATTGCCAAAGCATAGTTGATCATGGTCTTCTCCTGAGAGGACATTCAGACCTATTTTAGATTTGACTTTATAAAAATCAATTTAAACTGCGTTCAGACAGACTAAGGGTACGTCTACGCTACCCGCTGGATCGGCGGGTAGCGATCTATCTATCGGGGATCGATTTATTGCATGTAGTGTAGACGGGATAAATCGATCCCCGATCGCTCTCCCGTCGACTGCTGAACTCCAGCAGTGCGAGAGGTGGAAGCAAAGTCGACGGGGGAGCCGCGGCCATCAATCCAGCGCCGCAAGGATGCAAAGTAAGTAATTTTAATTCGATCTAAGATACATCGACTTCAGCTACACTATTCTCGTAGCTGAAGTTGCGTATCTTAGATCGATCCCCTCCCCCCAGTGTAGACCAGGCCTTAGTAATGATAGACTGAAATCAGCACTGTGCTACTTCAGTTTTACACTAATGTAATTCCACTGATTTCAGTGTGTGACATGATGTAAAACTGGAGTAAGACAGTGGAGAATCCGGCTCAGTGTATTTAATGTACCACGATGAAGATAGGTCATCAAATAAAGAGTGTTGGTTTTCCCTGCCTGTCAGCTGACATTTCACACTAATCCAGTAAGGCTTGGACTTGGATGTGAATTTAACAATTCTATAAAATGGAATAATAACTGCCAATGCACTTTTGTCAATACAGTATTTCAAAATGAAGCACTGATGCCTATTGAATAGTGCCATATGCAGTACAATGTTTCTTTAAGGAACTGTTGGAGTCAGAAAAGTCACTCTATAAAAATTGCATTATGGAGTTTCCTATTTATTCTCCTTCAGCGCCGAACCCACCTGGCCTCTCTGTAGTGGAGAAAGACCCAAAAATGCAGTGGAACCTTCTGATTCCACTGGACAAGAGAAAAAGGGGCAGGAGATAGAGAGGCCATACAAGGGGACTCCTCAACTCCCTGTGCACTGTGAAGCTGTGCTCCATGACAGCTCTCTCCACAGGAGCATCGAAGGGAGGAGGGAGTTGTGGGTGGGCCAAAGGAGCAGTGGGAGTGTAGCCAGTGGATCCATGAATTATGTGAATGTACTGGCAGCTGCTGCCTGTGGGCTCAGTGGTAGGGTTCTAGTCCTCAAAACCTGCATTGGCTGTTTTAATCTGAATTCAGCTGACAATTTTACTGATGATGCACAAGGGGGATAACTATAGAACTCAGTAGGATATTATAGAATCTTCAGGAGTTGTATCGGCTCTCACAAGAGTAAAAACTTGGGGTTTTAAGTAAAGTAAGCAGCTGTGACTCAAAGACACAGATCTAGTGAGTAGAGTATTCACTATAACTGCACTTGAATAATAGATCATTGTTATTATTCTTATTACAAATACATAAATGCATAGGAAGGAACCGTTTTTTCTCTCAGTGACAGACAGTTGGTCCATACGAGCAATCTTATTTTTGATTCACAACACTGTCAATTAACCCTCAGCTAAGGAATGAACCCAAATGTTTGTAATCTAAGTGTGTGGCAGTTAATGCTTTCGTTTGTTAGCCAAGGATGTAAAAACCTTTTCCACATGTGAGTAAGGGGCTAATGTAAAGGGACTAATGTAAAGGGACTATAATTTAGAGTTTGGTAACTAATTCATATGATGAAATAAAGCTAAGTTTTAGGCTCTCTTAAATAAAATGTAATTAATTTTGCATATAAAATTACATAGGTTAGAATAATCAGTAACTAAAAGTCATGTTATAAACCTATATTAATCTAAAACTATAGCCACTTCACAGTAATTGATTCTATAGTCATTCAATAAAGCAGTACTTCTGCTAATAATGTATATTCTTAATGCTATGTAAATATATCATCTGACTACTGATAACGTGTGGCAATTTCCACCCCTTCCTGACATGGAATGAATTGAGAGTGCAGCTGAAGGAAGTGTGAGAAAAATGGATGTACTGATATGTATACAAATGGAATTCATTTGGCTGCCAGGTTCACTACACTTCATCAGTTCTGGATGGTTATAGGAATGAATCTGTCATGAATTCTTCTGTGGAAAAATGGCTCCACTTGAAATATCTTTTGGGGTGCTGTAGAGGTTTTTCAGCAGCACAATAAAACCTTTGCATGCCTACATTGCTGATTCCACTACCACATTCATAACCTGCACAGTGGTCACTCAAAACCAGCCTTTCCATAAATGAATGACGGGGGCAATTTTGGACCTATCCTGTTGGACCAAACTGATAGCCAAGCTCTCCAGTAGTTTTGGCCACCATGTTTCCTCCTCCCCGCCCCTCACTTCCTGTTAACAGAGACAAACGAAAATAGTTACTTCTAAAATCTGCTTTCTAGGGCCTGCTTCCTTTGAGATGCTGGGAGCTTCCTGAGAGGAATTGTGTGTGCTTAGCACAGGCATGGAGGAGCTCTAAAGCAGCATTAGAAACACAGGGCCTGATTTACCACTGCACTACTCCAATTTTACACTATCTTAACTCCCTTAAATTCTGTGAAGTACAGCAGCATAAAACTGAAGTAACACTGCAGTGAGACAGACCCGTACAGGACAGTAACACACATAACAATTACAGACCAAGGAGGAGAGCCTCACCCCTGCTCCAGTCCTTTATGCCAGATGTAAAGGGCCCCTCTAAGCTCTGGTTTCAGCTGAGTGAGCATTGCACTGGAACTGGCACTGAAGAAGAGAGCTGTAAGGCTGCCATCAGAGGATCCCCTGGCAACCCCTGGTATATGGGGTGTGCCAGGTCATGTTGAACATAGGGCCAAAGCACACAGTGCTGCAGTCCACATGGCAGTCTAGGGAGGGTGCTGTAACTTAGACAGGCCCCCAGAACTGTAGACATTATGCTAAGAGCCTTTCCACAGCTCAGAGCAACTGGAGAGGATGCAAAGGTGGCTTAAATCCCCTCCCCGCATGCACACACGTATCTGGCCTACGGCTGCTGTGCTGTGCTTCTAGGAGGGGCATCCCAAGGACTCAATCCTGCTTCACTGAATATATGGTAAAGATCCCATTGACTTCAGCTGTGTAGAATCAGGCCCCCAGATGAAGAGAGCAATAGCAGGAGAGTCTCTTTGTAGGAAACTCTTGCCAGTTATGTTGGAGGATATATTGGTGTTTGGAGTGAGATGACTCATTTTAAACTCAGATTTTGGGTAAAGCAGCTCTTTTTCTGGCCAACTCATATCTGACTCATTTACCACTGATGAATAAAGTATAAAATGCTCCTGGCTAAGAACCATTCTAAGTATTTTTTTTTTTTTTTAGTTTTCTTTCTTTCCTTTTTTTTTTTTTTTTTGCAGTGGTAAATGACAACACAAAGTAGACAGTTGTTTCAATTTGATTGGCCCTGACATGCTGAGTGAAGCAGACTTTATGAAAAGCTATTTTTGTTCTTGGTGGGTTTTTTGTTAAAATACTCTATGCATTTTAATATACATTTGAAACTAAATTGTAGACTTCAGGAGAGAATAGATAAGGGAGAAGTGATTTATGGATAGGACAGAAGGGAAAATATGAATGATGTAAATACAAATTTAAATACAGAGACAATTAAATAAATAGGCATGGTCTTATAAACATGTTGAACCACAACACATTGTGTGTATTGATAACTACTTATTACCTAAATGAGATACACATATAACTGATTAGAGCTTTGTAGTGGCCAACAGTTGTTTCACAAAACTTTTGTTTTGAAAAAGTTCAGTACAATAGTCTCCTTGATTCTTTTACTTCTTTTTTTTTTAAAGGAGCAGGGGCTATCTGGTACTTAATTGTTTTAAAGCAAATTTTAGGAATACATTTAAAAGAATTTGAATTCATGGCCCTGATTTACCTGGATATAGATTTTACCCAACTGGAAATGAGATATGAAATGTAATTCTTAGATGTTGGATTAAAATCCATTTTAGAGGATTCTGTGGTTTCTGAACTAATGACTGGGATTTTCATCATGTTATAATTTCTGTTGGAAAGATTACAGACCAGATCCTGAGATACAACTGTTTTTCATAGACTGCCAATCATGGCGGTGGGAGGGTGTATGTGCAGAGGTGCATAACGCTGGTCTTTGCACTCCTCTGACCCTAGTGTCATCTCTGTGCAGGACTAATCCACCTGCATCAAATTAGAGCATCGTGAGGGCTGCTCTAATTTATGCCAGCTGTAAACAGCCTGAGTGGGATGAAACCACACTCTAGGATTGGCATGGCACAAGGTATTCTGGCCAAACCCTCTCCTTTGGCCATGCCTCTCTTGTCCTGCTATTCCATGGCAAGGATAAGAGCCTTACACCAGAAATCACCTTTACACAGTAGTGATCCTCCACAGCTGAGCTAGGCTAGGGCCACATTCTGCTGTGCATAGAAACAGCCACACCACAGCAGAAAATCTGTCCCTTAGAATGCATTTATATTGTGAAATTGCAGAAATACTAATTGCAGTCTGTAACCTATCATTTAAATCAGTTTCTGTACCAGATGACTGGAGGATAGCTAATGTGATGTCAATTTTTTAAAAAGGCTCCAGCGGTGATCCCAGCAATTACAGCCTGGTAAGCCTAAATTCAGTACCAGGCAGATTGGTTGAAACGATAGTTAAGAACAGAATTATCAGACACATAGATGAACATGATTTGTTGGGGAAGAGTCAACGTGGTTTTTGTAAAGGAAAATCATGC